GCCTGGTGGAGGGGGGGGGGGGTCTGCCTTGGTGTCCCTTCCCCTTGTACTAGGATTGTTTGTGTTGGTGGTACCCCCTGCTTGCCCCTCATGAGTGAACACGTCCCAGGGGTTCATCATTTACAGTGTTGAGTGGTAGCTTTGGCGCCGGTTAGCAGTACCTTGCCTGGGTAAACTCTTAGCAGACCCAGTCTAGGGGCCTTGGGAAACCCCATGAGGCATTCGGGTCTGATGGATGTGATCCCAGAGTTCCCTCTCACTTTTTTGTGAGTTTGAGGGTTGCTTTGCCCCCTTGTCTCAAGGCGACGCTCATTGTTTTTGCCTCCGTCATGCTGTCTGTTGGGTCGGTGACACATTCGATCGACCCGGAGTCCTGCAAGCTTTGTTGCTTGTTTGTGACTCAGTTCACCCAATCTGATATTATTATTTGGGTGCAGGCGGCTTGCGCGTTGCAAGATAGGTTTAGGTTGTTGCAGCGCGCTTGTTTCGTTGCTTCCCCGAGGCTGCCCCGTTTTGTTTATAGGGACCCGGACTTGGGGTTGTTGGTCGCTTCGGCCTTGGTTCCGTCTGCACCCCTTCGTTCTTCCCCTGCTGTGGTTCATTCGGTTCCCCCTCCCCCCCCCCTGCTTCCGGCTCCTAAGCATCTGAGGGCTTCGGGGTCGGGGCAGGGTTTAAAGGTTTTTGAGACTAGGGTGATTTCGGGGGTTGCCCCTTCCGGGGTGGCTACGAAGGCATTTGAGTCCATTCCTCCAGCCGTAGGTCCGGAGTCTGACCATTGGGCCCATTCTCTTCCTGCTATTTCGGCCGCCCCGGCTTTTTCTTGTGTGGCTGGGGCTTGGGATTACGGTTCACACCCCAGGGCTTGACGTGGAGGTTCCAGGGGTTGGGGAGGGGCTGGCTTGGAGACCTTGGGCCCCGTTGGGCCTGGGTTTTCCAACCCTCTGGGTGGGGCTTTCGGTTACAAGGAGTGGGGTTTTCCTTTCTGCCCTCTGAATACGCGTTAGTTTGGGTGTCAGCCCTTCCTCGGATTCGGTTCTGTGTCCCTTGGGTCTGTCGGTTCCGTCCTTTCTGTGGGTGATTTTACCACTTTCTCACCCTTCTTTTCAAGGACATGTATTCTTCTACGTCGTGTCATCATGCTCTCATCGTCTCGGGATCCTGCATGACCATTGGTCGCGGATGCCACTGGGCCCATGTGAGCCTCCGTGCTTTTGTCCTTGCTCCTCAAGGGTCTATAAGGTTCGGGAAGATCTTCAATTCTTCCAATATTGTTGGAACGTCTGTCGTCTGCTGGTGAGGCTTACTTCCAATCCTTTCTCGGACTCATTGGTTCTCTTCCGTCCTACTTCTTGTTTTTCGATATTATCTCATTATTTTCTCATTACATCTTATCTCCGTACTCTGTCTCGACTCTACGAATATTCGTTTAGTACACCTTGTAGGCACCCTCCCCGAGGGATGGGTGTTGCAGCTCGGTCCTCAGGTGCATGCACCGAGGGTGTATGTTTTGGTTTAGTGTGGTGTAAACATGTGTTGGTGTTCTGCGTCCTTTACCATGGGTTCTACGCTGCTCTCGCTCATCTTCTTTCCAATCATAGCCCCCAGGATACTGGGTGAGTTCTGGGTTATATATATGGGGGAGAACACTTAGTTCTTTCTCTGCTTTTATGGGTGTGGGGTGGCTCGGGGTAGCGCCTCCTCCACCTTTACTCTACGTCTCATCTTCTACAGTTCACGTATCTCTGGACATGATCCACTAGCGTTTTTCCCAGAATATTACACGGCTCAGCTGTTTCGTGACACGATAGTGTCTACGTTTTACAGGTGAGAGTATAGGGTCTGGTGACACTGTCAGCCTGGTGCTGGTTCTCGGTTTTTGCATGAGTGTTGGGCGTTGTTTGTAGTGTGTTGATTGGCCACTTTACCTGCATCTTAACGTGGCCTCCTTATATGCTTCTATCACTGCTTCTCAGCCCAAGGCTAAGGCCTGATTGTGGGGAAGGGTTCCATGGAACATCAGATGGACACGCATTCCTTGACTCAGTCTTTGCTTTCTGGATACTCATTCCTTGCTGGGCACTGGTTCATGGCCTCAGTCAATGCTCTCTGGACACTCATTCCTTGACTCAATCATTGCTTCTGGTCACTCCTTCCTTGGCTGTCATTCAGTGCCTGGCTGCACTCTACTGTATTCATTGGAATGTGTGTGTATATTTACTTGATCGTGTACATTAAGTTTTCCTTGCATTTTCTATCTCTATACTACACATTGTTGTGTGTCTTAGTATATGCTTATTGGCTATACTAGTGTTGGTGCTAGTTGGACTGTGTACATGTTCAGTTCCCTGCAATTGGACAGTTCCGCTGTTCCGCTGAACTGAGTTCTTTCATCTTCTTGTATGTCCCTAGCAGCTTCTGTGTTGCAATGTCTGCTGGTGGCTGTGGGTTCCAATCACCCACTCCTGTCTCTACTGTTCCTTTTCTGGGTTGGTTCTTTCCCGCCTTGCTGGGTTTGAGTTCCTGGTTCCCTGGCGGATGTTCCTTCTGGTTCCTGGCCAGCCTTCGTTTCGGTCACTACTTGCTTGGTGTCCGAACCCAGGGGTTTTCCCCCGGCTCAGCCTCTTCTTCTGATCGTTACGGTCTGTATCGGGGCTGGTTTGGTCTTTTCCTCGAGTCTTCCAGTCTGGAAATTTTTACTCGAGTTTCTCACCATTTTTGGTGATCAGGTGGCTTCATTGATTTTGTTTCACCTGCGTGCTTCATCTCGGCGGTCGTATGGGGTTTTGCTGGCGGTCCTTCCTTTCTTTTTGTCTCCTCGTAGGTATCCTGCGATTTTTGTTGACGTGGTCTTGTCCTCCTCTTGTGGGGGTTTGGGACTGTTGCCTTGTCTCGTGTGGCGCTGGCGGAGTCGCTATGGTTTGCTTTCGGTTTTGACATTCCTTCTGCACCGTTGTGCAGGCTGTCTCAGACGTTGTTTGCCTCCAGCTTGCTCATGCGCCGCCTGCACTGTCCTGGTCTTTGGCTGGTGTGTTCTTGTTTGTCTTCGCCTAGGTTTGTTGTGACCCCTATTGTTCAGGTTTGTTTCCGTAGTTCTTTCTTGTTCATTTGCAACCGTTTCATTCTTTTCTGGCGAGGAATGGGTCTGCTGCTTTCCGGAGGGGTCCTTGGGATGTTGATGCTTGGTTGGTCAGGCTGGGGGGTGCATCTTGTGTTGTGTCTGGTTGCGGCTCTCCGCTGTTATTTGCGTGGCACGGCTTCTGTGTCTGGGGACACGCTTTGGTTTGATCCGGTTTCTCTCCTTCCCTGTTCGCAGGTACGGGTCTCTCAGATCATCCGCAGGGTTATTAGGTCTAGCCAACCTGCGGTCTATCCTCGTGCCCTTGACGTTCGTAAGTTTGCTGCTCTTGCTGCCTTGTTTGGTAACATGTCCTGGGCTGACATTTGGGCGCGGGGTTTTTGGCTGTCGAACAGGATCTTGGGCTTACATTCGAGCACGGGATTTTTGGCGGTCGAACAGGGTCCTGGCTGCATGCTTCCTCATTAACGTTCCTTGGCCTAGTCCGGTCTGTGTCACTTGGGTCAGCAGCTGCAGCTTGTCTCGACTTCGAGTTGAGGTGTGGAACGCCTTCCGGGCATGTCCCTTTCTTTATTTTGTCTTTGGTGAAGTTGCTCTGGGAGCTGTAGGGGCTCCCCCAAGAAAACCAGCGTTGAATGTAATGACATGCCATTTACTGGGTGATTCCCAGTGGCTCTCCGGCAACCATCCCTCCCTCCGGTCGTTTTTTTTTCGCATTCAGTATTTTGATATCCAGCCTCGGAACTGGAGGCGCGGGGGTCTGGGGCTCCCTTTTCCCCCTCCTGGGGAGGGGGGAGCTGCGCAGACATGCAGCACAGCTCGTGTGACAACCTGCTTGTTTGTTCGTTTTCAATTGGGGAGTTCTGTCCACTCATATGTCTATTTATTTATTTATTTATTTATGCATATACAAGAATGTACATAAGGAATGTGAGGATACAATTATGGTAATTACAGTCTTGTAAAGCCACTAGCACGCGCAGCGTTTCGGGCAGTCTATTTTCATTGTTTTTAACCAGAATAGGGGTGTCTTTTGTGGCGCTTACCTTTCTGGGTGCCTGTTCCGGTCAAAGGCAAATATAGAGTGCTTTACAAACACATGTGTATTTCTATAGGCCATTGCTCCTTGTGCCACTCTGAGGAGGCCAGGTTCTGGCCGTGGTCCCCGGTAGGCCTAGAACTCCATCCACATCGACTGATGCCAAAGTTAATACATATCAGCCTGGATAGCTCCGGGGAGCCTCCAGAACTCGCCCAGAAAATGGCGTTTCATTACATTCAATGCTGATTTTTTTAATGTTTTTCTTGTTCTGTGTTAGTCATTTGCAGAGTTGTTTGATGTATTCAAGGTTTCAGTCTGTTATTCCTCCAATTGTCTCTGAAGCTTCAATGACTTTTTAGATACTTTTAGTGTGGTGGCGAATTGTCACTTACCCTCGTGCTTCTCTTCCTGTAAGGGGAGGCCAGGTTTTGGCTGTAGTACCTGGGAGGCCAAACAGAACTTTTGTGTCTGATGGGACTCATTTGCTTGGAGCAATCTCAGCAAGATAACTTGAGGAGCTTCAGGGCTCCCCCCCCCCCCAAAAAAAAAAGCATCAAGACCTTTAGACCATTTGCCTGTGCATGTAAAGACTTGCCTGTCTTGCTGAATCTGATGTTGTAGGTGTGAGGGGCCTTGAACTTTGGCCGAAGGCGCTCTTGGCTTATGAACGTCTTTTCTGACCTGAAGGCTTAAACGTATAGTATAATTATGCTGGCAGTTGTTAGTCCTTAAACCTTAACACTAAATTAATACAGTATGGTTATGTATAGGTGTAATGTATCTCAAAGTTTGGGTCTCTTGTCATGTTTCTATTTCAGAGCATAATTTTGCTAGAAAACTTTTGACTTGAACCTTAATTTTTGTTGATCTCTCTGGAAACAGTACGAGTCGATGATGGGAGGAGGTAGTGTGTGTGTCGACGTGATGGGCACGTGAAGAACTAGAGGCAGTGAACAAGAGGAGCTCTACAGTGTAGTGCAGCAGTGGCAGATGTGTGCAGTATAGTAGTATCTGGAAGAACATATTGGTGTGGTCTTGAACATTTTGACACCTGGGTTAATGGTTCCATAAGACTGCAGGCAGTTTCTGCACAATATTTTCCTCCAAAAAGGTAGGAAATATAAGGATGATGTTGCTTTGTGTACTGTGAGAATTTTCTTTGAATGAAGTAGTGTACAGTAGTGGCTTTGTAAGACATACTGACAATGAATGAAGGATGTTCAGTGTTACCACAGCCGCAGCACAACACAATGAGCACCAACTTGTCACATGTACATGATCCTGAATGGTTATCTGTATCTGTTGAATACTAATTTATTGGAATGTGGAATTTGGCTAAGAATGATAAAATTATATGATAAAAGAGGAAGATTTTATATTGGAGTCGAGCCTGGCCTCAGGCCGGGCACTGGGAGCAGAAGAATTCCCGAAATCCTCTACGGGTATCTCCAGATGAAAATATTTTGGATATTGAAAAATGTAAAGATGGGAAGCAATTTGAATACCTAGAGTGATGTTTAGTAAGGATGGTAATGAAAACATTGTAAGTTCAAACATAAAGTAGGAGAAGGAAGATAAGTAGAAGGGTCATTGAGGGCCTGGCATGATTGAAAAGCCATTAAATGAGGAATACAGAGCATGTTGCATGAAATTATATTGATAACGTCATATGGAGCTTTAACATTGTAGCATGAGTTGTACAAGACCAGATTGTTTACTGTGTTGGGGTGCTGGGCTGGTGATAGGTGGAGGGTGGGGCCTTGAGCTGGTAATAGGTGGAGGGTGGGGCCCTGCGCTGGTAATAGGTGGAGGGTGGGGTCCTGTGCTGGTGATAGGTGGAGGGTGGGGCCTTGAGCTGGTGATAGGTGGAGAGTGGGGTCCTGCGCTGGTGATTGGTGAAGGGTGGGGTCCTGCGCTGGTGATTGGTGAAGGGTGGGGTCCTGCGCTGGTGATTGGTGAAGGGTGGGGTCCTGTGCTGGTGATAGGTGGAGGGTGGGGCCTTGAGCTGGTAATAGGTGGAGAGTGGGGTCCTGGGCTGTGATAGGTGGAGGGTGGGGCCCTGGGCTGGTGATTGGTGGAGGGTGGGGCCTTGAGCTGGTAATAGGTGGTGGGTGGGGCCCTGGGCTGTGATAGGTGGAGGGTGGGGGTCCTGTGCTGGTGATAGGTGGAGGGTGGGGTCCTGTGCTGATGATAGATGGAGGGTGGGGCCTTGAGCTGGTAATAGGTGAAGAGTGGGGTCCTGCGCTGGTGATTGGTGAAGGGTGGGGTCCTGCGCTGGTGATTGGTGAAGGGTGGGGTCCTGTGCTGGTGATTGGTGGAGGGTGGGGCCTTGAGCTGGTGATAGGTGGGGCCCTGGCCTGGTGATTGGTGAAGGGTGGGGTCCTGTGCTGGTGATTGGTGAAGGGTGGCATCCTGTGCTGGTGATTGGTGAAGGGTGGGGTCCTGTGCTGGTGATTGGTGAAGGGTGGGGTCCTGCGCTGGTGATTGGTGAAGGGTGGGGCCCTGGGTGGTGATAGGTGGAGGGTGGGGCCCTGGGTGGTGATAGGTGGAGGGTGAGGCCCTGGGCTGGTGATAGGTGGGGTTACCGGGTTGATACCTGGTTGATGGGGTTCTGGGAGTTCTTCTACTCCCCAAGCCCGGCCCGAGGTCAGGCTCGACTTGTGAGAGTTTGGTCCACCAGGCTGTTGCTTAGAGCGGCCCGCAGGGCCACATACCCACCACAGCCTGGCTGATCCGGAACTTCTCTTAGAAAACAGTCCAGTTTTCTCTTGAAGATGTCCATGGTTGTTCTGGCAATATTTCTTATAGTCGCTGGGAGGACGTTGAACAACTGCGGACCTCTGATGTTTATACAGTGCTCTCTGATTGTGCCTATGGCACCTCTGCTCTTCACTGGTTCAATCTTGCATTTTCTTCCATATCGTTCACTCCAGTACGTTGTTATTTTACTGTGTAGATTTGGGACCTGCCCTCCAGTATTTTTGCATGTGTATATTATTTGGTATCTCTCTCGTCTCCTTTCTAGAGAGTACATTTGGTGAGCTTTGAGACGATCCCAATAATTTAGGTTTTTTATTTTGTCTATGCGTGCTGTATATGTTCTCTGTATTCCCTCTATTTCAGCAATCTCTCCTGCTCTGAAAGGGGAAGTGAGTACTGAGCAGTACTCAAGATGGGACAACACAAGTGACTTGAAGAGTACAACCATTGTGATGGGATCCCTGGATTTGAAAGTTCTCGTAATCCATCTGATCATTTTTCTGGCTAACCCAATATTTGCTTGGTTATGCTCCCTAAACGTTAGATCGTCGGACATCATTATTCCCAAATCCTTGACATGCTGTTTTTCTACTATGGGAAGATTCGATTGTTTTTTGTACTCTGTATTATGTTTCAGATCCTCATTTTTGCCGTACCTGAGTACCTGAAATTTATCACTGTTAAACATCATGTTATTTTCTGCTGCCCAATCGAAAACTTTGTTGACATCTACTTGTAGTTTTTCAATGTCTTCAGCAGAGGTAATTTTCATGCTGATTATTGTGTCATCTGCAAAGGACGACACGAAGCTGTGACGTGTATTTTTGTCTATATGAGATATGAGAATAAGGAACAGTAGCGTTGCAAGGACTGTACCTTGAAGTACAGAGCTTTTAACATCGCTTGGACTCGATTTTATCTGATTGACAGTTATTCTTTGTGTTCTGTTCGACAGGAAATTGAGTATCCAGCGTCCTACTTTTCCAGTTATTCCCAATGACCTCATTTTGTGAGCTATCACCCCATGGTCACATTTGTTGAACGCCTTTGCAAAGTCTGTGTATACAACATCTGCATTTTGCTTTTCTTCTAGGGCTTCTGTGATTTTGTCATAGTGGTTGAGTAACTGTGACAGACAGGATCTTCCCGCTCTAAATCCATGTTGTCCTTCCTGGGTTGTGCAATTCATTGTTTTCCATAAAACTAGAAATTTGATTCCTAATCACTCTTTCAAACACTTTTATTATGTGTGATGTTAGTGCAACTGGCCTATAATTTTTTGCCAAGGCTTTACTCCCACCCCTTGTGCAACGGAGCTATATCTGCAGATTTAAGTGCTGCTGGTATCTCCCCTGTATCTAGGCTCTTTCTTCATATATAGGGGAGCCGGTCGGCTGAGCGGACAGCACGCTGGACTTGTGATCCTGTGGTCCCGGGTTCGATCCCGGGCGCCGGCGAGAAACAATGGGCAGAGTTTCTTTCACCCTATGCCCCTGTTACCTAGCAGTAAAATAGGTACCTGGGTGTTAGTCAGCTGTCATGGGCTGCTTCCTGGGGGTGGAGGCCTGATTGAGAACCGGGCCGCGGGGACACTAAAAAAAAAAAAACCCGAAATCATCTCAAGATATTACGCTGAGTGCTCTCGCTACTGATACTTTACATTTCTTTATGAATATTGAATTCTATGAGTCAGGCCCAGGAGCTGAGTGCATAGGCATATTGTCAATTTCTCTTTCAAAGTCTTCCAAGTTTGTGGTAATATCCGTTATATTATCTGCAGCTTGAATGTCTTTCATAAAGAAGCTGTCTGGGTCATCAACTTTCATGTTGTTTATTGGTGTGCTAAACATAGCCTTATACTGGCTTCTTAGAATTTCACTAATCTCTTTGTTGTCCTCTGTGTACGTACCTTCATTTGTAATTAACGGTCCAATACTGGTCGAGGTTTTGGATTTGGATTTTGCGTATGTGAAAAAATATTTTGGATTTTTCCTTATCTCTTGTATAGCTTTCTGTTCCAATTCCATTTCCTCAGACTCATATGATCGCTTCAACGTTTGTTCTATTTCTTCGATCTCCCTGCTTAGGCTTATTTTCCTTGCTTGTGATAGTTGTGTCTGCCGAAGCATTTCCGTTATTTTTTTCCTTCTGTACAGTCGTCTGCGTTCTCTTTCTAGAGTGGTCCTCTTTCTGCCCCTCCTCACAGGTACGTGCTTCAAGCAGACCTTGTAAGCTTCAGCTGTCAGTTGAGCTATTCCCTGTAATTACCTAAGTGTAGTTACAGGATGAGAGCTACGCTCGTGGTGTCCCGTCTTCCCAGCACTCTTTGTCATATAACGCTTTGAAACTACTGACGGTCTTGGCCTCCACCACCTTCTCACTTAACTTGTTCCAACCGTCTACCACTCTATTTGCGAAGGTGAATTTTCTTATATTTCTTCGGCATCTGTGTTTAGCTAGTTTAAATCTATGACCTCTTGTTCTTGAAATTCCAGGTCTCAGGAAGTCTTCCCTGTCGATTTTATCAATTCCTGTTACTATTTTGTATGTAGTGATCATATCACCTCTTTTTCTTCTGTCTTCTAATTTTGGCATATTTAATGCTTCTAACCTCTCCTCGTAGCTCTTGCCCTTCAGTTCTGGGAGCCACTTAGTAGCATGTCTTTGCACCTTTTCCAGTTTGTTGATGTGCTTCTTAAGATATGGGCACCACACAACAGCTGCATATTCAAGCTTTGGCCTAACAAAAGTCATGAACAATTTCTTTAGTATATCGCCATCCATGTATTTAAATGCAATTCTGAAGTTAGAAAGCATAGCATAGGCTCCTTGCACAATATTCTTTATGTGGTCCTCAGGTGATAGTTTTCTATCTAGAACCACTCCTAGATCTCTTTCTTTATCAGAATTCTTTAAAGATTTCTCACATAATATATAGGTTGTGTGGGGTCTATGTTCTCCTATTCCACATTCCATAACATGACATTTATTAACATTAAATTCCATTTGCCAAGTGGTGCTCCATATACTTATTTTGTCCAAGTCTTTTTGAAGGGCATGACAGTCATCTAAATTTCTTATCCTTCCTATTATCTTAGCATCATCAGCAAACATGTTCATATAATTCTGTATACCAACTGGTAGATCATTTATGTACACAATAAACATCACTGGTGCAAGAACTGAACCCTGTGGTACTCCACTTGTGACATTTCTCCATTCTGATACATTGCCTCTGATTACTGCCCTCATTTTTCTATCAGTCAGAAAATTTTTCATCCATGATAGAAGCTTACCTGTCACCCCTCCAATATTTTCCAGTTTCCAGAACAACCTCTTATGTGGAACTCT